TTTTTTTTTTAAATGTCCCCAAAAGTATTTTTACTACAGTTGGTAATGTTGAGAACAAAACCGTGTGTGGCCGATTTAAAGTTGTTATTGGCCCAGTGAGAATAAACTATACTAGTGAAGTCGGGGTAGGTGCACCAAATGTTTTCTAGCCTAAAGGATTTGTGAGTAGGGGACCCTGAAAAAGAATTGAGCTTAAGAAGTAAGGGGTTGTGATCTGAGTAGGTTTTAGGCAAATGCGTTACTGAGGAACCTGGGAAGATACTTAACCAATTTTCATTAGCCAGAAACCTATCCAATCTTTCTATGATTAGGCCTTTGTGCCTATTTCTGTGATTAGACCATGTATACTTACACCCTTTGAATCCTAAGTCAATTAGTTTACAATTGTTTATATGATTTCAAATCCTACTAGAGTGATTTATTGTCCTACCTCCAAATTTTTAGAAATCCATAGTTATATCATTAAGATCACCTCCTAATAACCATGGTCCATTAAAATTGTTAGCAATATATTCTAGGTAGTTACACATAGACTCTCTTATGTAGACATTTGTACTAGCATAAACAGTACTAAGAAGCCATGAAAATCTGTAGGGGATTACCTCAATCATTGCATGGATTTCCTGGCCCCTCCTAGTAAAGTTGTTCACAGTAACAACTTTGTGATCGTAGAGAACAACTAAACCACCAGCTTGGCCTTCAGCTGGTACCTCGATCATTTCTGTGAAGTTATAATTGTTGAGGAAGGCTGCATGGGAGGACATCCTAGTTTCAAGCAAAGCTACTAAGCAGGGTTTGTGAGTATCTATGAGATCTCTAAAATTCCTATAAAAATCTTCATTGTTTGCTCCATTCTAGAAAATGATGCTAGTGGCCTTATTCATCATCATTGGATTTTGATAGTTTGAGTTGGTCACTGCCTCCAAAGAGGAATTGGGGTTCGTTCTACTACATGGAACTAGGATCACTGCATGAGAGCCCACCGTTGGGTCCCTTGGTGGCCTTATGTCCATGGAGCATTTGTACACTGAGGGAGGACAATTGGATATGAACTTTTTGCTCATGTTTTCCTTGAAGAGCATAACCTTTACCTCGTTTGGATTTGCAAACTCCACACTCAGCTCTGTATTTAGGGGTTCCAATTCTTCCTCCTCCTCCATTGGGTTTCCTCCTTGACCTTGTTCGTTGGGAGTGGATTGTTCTCCATCTGGTTTGGCATGTTGACTGGAGCCTGGTTTGCATGGGTATCCCATGGAATGAGGATGGGACCGAGCAGAGAGATCTCCTCTGGAAGAAAGAAGGGAAGATCCAGAGGGTGGGGGATTGGAATCTATGGGTTTGCTCGTGGTGGAAGGTTCCAGTAACTTTGCATGGCTTGAAGCAGGTTGACATTCATAGTTGGTGCAATTGGCTGAAGCACGTTGTTGATCCAAGTTTGAGTCATAAAGTTGTTCATGGCTAATCTCACCCCCTCCGATATAAGTTGAGCCAGGTAAGGGGTGTTTTAGATCACTATGACAGTGTCCTGAACATTGATCTCCATATTGAAGGAGATCGCATGGCCCATTAACCCTGCTTCCATCCAGCTTAGAGGTTGGCAGTTTGGGGGTAGTGGTGGTGAGGTGTAGTAAACTGTTGGAGTTGGTGGTTGTGGGGGAAGGGGGTAGATTGTTCATAGTTGAGCGAGGTGTTTGACGGAGAACTTGGATAAGTCTGTCTCTCCTTCTCAGTGAGTAAGGGAGTCTTGGCATATTGAGGCTCTTTGGGACTTATATGGGAGCTTATACTTCTTACACACTTGATTGAAGGTGAGACAGTAGGTAACTTTAGAGGGGTAGGATCTAAGAGCATGGGATTGGAGTGGGGAAGCTTAAGGGATTCATCTGAAGTTTTAGTAGTAGCCACGTTTTTAGGGTAGTGTCCATTTGTTCAAATTCTAGTAGGGAAGTGGACAAGTGTTGTGGTGATGCATTTGGGTTCGGCAGATTCTCACCCAATGGGTGTGGATGAATAGTGGTATGGTGTGAGAGAGCCTCGATTATTGGTTGGCTTTGGTGATGGATTGTAGTAGCCGGTTGATCTGTTTTAAGATTATTACCTACCGATTGATTATTGCTAATTGTAGACTTAGCTAATGATTAAGACGTGAAGGAGGGTGGTTATCAGTTTCTTCCACATGTAAGCTAGATGGGGTGGTTGAGCACAACTTACCCTCCATGCATTAGTCATAGTTTCTTCCAAAACCATTGGATCTTGGTTGTCAATAGGATCTGTGGGCGTTAAGAATAAGGAGTGGAATTTATTATTAGTGGGAATAGGGTTATCTTTGTTAATAACGGTAAAGATATTGTTAATACCTTTTAATTTTAATGATTTATCATAAGTATCTTTCTCAACAAACTTTAATTTCTGGGTTTGAAGGAACTTACCTATGTTTGCATTGAAGATCTTTACATTAATACATGATGTTTCTGAGTCATTAAGTGCAGCTGATTTTGGTCGTGTGCCTCTGCTTTTGGGCCTGCTGAAAGAGACAGTTTCCCAATTTTCACTGCATGGATGCTGTTGGTTCTTCTGAGAACTCTGCAGCTCCTTATCTTTTGGAACTATTGCTGACATGGAATGAGGATAGTGTGGGCTAGTATGGCCAAGTCTGCCACATTTTTTGCAGAGAAAGTTCACCTTCATATTGGATGGATTGCTTGTGTGTCCTAATAAAAATAAAAGATTTAACTGGTTGTTCCATGGGGATTTCCACACAGATTCTAGCATAACGGCTTCTTAGGGTAGCCAAAGTACATGCATCGACTCTTAGCAATCTTCCAATGGTGTTCCCAATTTTCCTAAGAACCACTCCATCATAAAACTCAGTCGGAAGGTGTGGGAGGTGAACCCAAATAGCAGTATTGAGGGGCTTAGCTTCAGATGCCACAAAGTTTGGCACCCACCTTTGAACTGAAAGAAAATGTCCATTGATGAACCACGGACCTTGGTGCAGGACTTTAGCTAGGTTTTCTTCTTTTGTAAATTTAGCTACGTAGTAATCTGCACCCAAATCGATTAAAGGGATGTTTTCAGTTATCTTCCATTGTTCTTAGACCTTCTTCCTTAGGTAATGGTGCATAATACGCTTCCCTAAGAGCTTTATGATTACCGAGTGTTTCCAAGGATAGTAAATACGCTGCATATCCTCAGATGATAGGTTAACCTTATAACTTTCATTTAATGTATCCATGTCACGCGAGGTGTAGTCCATAGGCTCTGATGATTGCTCTACTTGATTTTCAAAGAGGACTGGTGTGTTGTGTAGAGTAGTATCATTGAGTAGTTTATCTTTAAATGAGGAGGATTCCTGAAGAATGGATACACTATTGGCCCTTGGATCACCATTGATGGCTTAAAAGTTGCTATATCTGGTGGTTTTGGGGGGATATGGGAAGTGGTTTGGGAAAAAATGGTAGTGGTTTCTATTGTCATTGAAAGAGCTTCTAACGAGACAACTTATTTGAGAGCTAGTGGAATCTTATCTAGAATAATTGGTTTCATAAGAAAGAGATGTAGTTTTAGACCAGCAATTCAAACACTTGAAAGTACCCAACATCACTAACTTGGGATTTTACGCCATCCAATTCCCAACGTTAATACTCCCTCTGTGACGCTTTTTGCTTTTCGAAAGTTTGAACCTTTTAATTTTGATTATATATTTGGACATTAGGGGTGTGTTTGGCATGACGAAAAATATTTTTCGGAAAATATTTTCTAATTTTCCTATATTTGGTTGGCTTAGATATTTTAGAAAATATTTTCCTCATGAATTCATTTTCCTCCAATTGGAGAAAAATGTTATCAAGAGAAGGGAAAGCATTTTCCAAAACTCTTTTCCAACCTTCCTCTCATTCCCCATCCCCACCAACCTCTACTTTCTTTTCATGACATTCATTTCAACAAAATGATGTAGTAAAAGGTATTTTCTTTCATTTCAACAAAAGGATATAGTAAAAAGTTTTTTTTTTTATTTCAACAAAAAAAATATTTTCTTTTCATGATATAGAAAAAGTATTTTCTTTCATTTCAACAAAATGAGTATTTTCTTTTTATAATGTAGAATTTATTTTTTTCAACAAATGAGTACTTTATTTTCATGTTGTAGAAATAATACTTTCTTTTTCAACAAAAAATAATAATATTTTTTTTTGTTATGGAGCATAAATTTCAACGCTATATTCGCATAAAAAATTAAGCAACACATTAGTTCCTTTGGATTTTTGTTAATTTTTATAAGAATAATTAAATTCTTGAAGAAAATAGAAATCATGAAATGTTAGGTATTTGGGGGGAGGGATAACACAGGAAACATAGGGACTTAGGGGAAGGGGGTGAGGAGAGTAGCATAAAAAAATACTTTCTACTCTCTAATCAAATACCAGAAAATATTTTCCGGAAAAAGGATTTTCACTTACCAACCAAACAAGGGAAAATAAGTGATAAAATCACTCATTTTCCATGAAAACATTTTTTAAGCAAAAAAATTTTCATGAAAACCATTTTCCTTCGTAACAAACACACTCTAAAATTTTTATTTTTTAAATAAATTAAATATTTAAAAGTTACTTAAAAAAAATACTACGTTATATTAATTAATTAATAGTTTAAAATATTTAAATATGAAAATATAAAGAAATATGACCAAAAATTAATACGATTGACTCGGAAAATCCGAATAGCTTTAGTATAATTAGGACGCTGCAGAGAGTAGACAAAAGCCACCGATCTCAACTCTCATTGACGGTAAAACCAGAAACTTCTTCTCTTATCTACCACCTCGAATCAAGAACCAAATCCCATACACTAAGCTTCCTCCTTGCATGCATTACAAGGTGACACCTTTCAATGCTACGTGTCAAACAGCCACAACACCATCCACGTGTCACTCCCTAACCCTTCCTTCCTACACGTGTCCAGTCAAATTTCTTTACCAGCCCAATATATAGCACGTCCTAATTCGGAGAAGAACCACGAACATAATTTTCAGTACACTCTCTTAAAGTTGATAAAGTGAAGAACAAAACTCTGATTTTCTTCTTGCGTTAGCCTTAAATTTTAAAAGCAGAAGCAATGGAGTCAAGACAAGGAGTGAGAGAAGAAAGGGCTGCAGTGAAAGAAGAAAGGGCAGAAGCAGCAGCAAGATTAGCAGCAGACGAACTCAGTGATGTGAACAAAGAAAGAAGGGCTCAAGAATATGAACAAAAGCCCGGTGTTATTGGTAGTATAATCAAAACAGTTCAAGGAACTCTTGGACATGCTAAAGAAGCAGTCACCGGAAAAGCCCACGAAACCGCCGCTGTTACAAGCGACACCGCCGGTATAGTGGCGGAAAATGCAAAACATTCAAAAGATGTTGCTGCTGACAAAACACAACAAGCTAAAGATAGTACAACTGGTAAAGCAGTAGAGTACAAGGATTCTGCTGCTGAAAAGGCAAAGCAAGCAAAAGATGCGACGATGCAGAAAGCTAAGGAGTACAAAGATTATGCTGCAGATAAAGCCAAAGAAGCGAAAGAGAGTACAACTGGTAAAGCGGTAGAGTACAAGGACTATGCAGCGGAGAAGGCGAAACAAGCAAAGGATACAACTATGGAGAAAGCTAAAGAAGCAAAAGACAGTACAACTGCTAAAGCAGGAGAGTACAAGGACTATGCAGCAGATAAAGCGAAAGAAGCAAAAGACAGTACAACTGCTAAAGCAGGAGAGTACAAGGACTATGCAGCGGAGAAAGCGAAAGAAGCAAAGGACACAACGATGCAGAAGACTGAGGAATACAAGGACTACACAGCCGAGAAAGCGAAAGAAGGCAAAGATACCACAGTGGGCAAATTAGCAGAGTTGAAGGATTCTGCTGCGGACGCGGCGAGGCGCGCTATGGATATGTTAACTGGAAAAAAGGAGGAGACAAAACAGAAAGCGGGGGAGACGGCTGAAGCGACGAAGCAGAAGGCGGAGGAGACGGCGGAAGTTACTAAGCAGAAGGCGGAGGAGACGGCGGAAGCAGCTAAGCAGAAGGCACAGGATATTAATCAAGCTGCTAAGGTTAGCCGTTTATAGCCTTCGTAGTTTTGGAATAAAACTATGGAATAAAATTATGGCCTTTGTTGTATATTTTTGTATGGTATCAATAAGATATTGCGCCAAATTTTAGAATGTTAATTATTGCATATTAGATTTAACTTACGTTTCACGGGACAAAGTAAATATAACGTATTTTAACCTATTATATCAGGAAATAATAGGAAGTTAAAAAAGATTTCCATCTATATAAGCTTTAGCTTGTAGGCGCTATGTTTTTTTTATGTGTGTGAACTTCTGTTGTATTGAAAAAATGATTTTTGCACTCTGAACATATTTTAACCTATTATAGCAGGAAATATTTCGAAATTGATAAAATAAATTAAGCTATTGATTCAATCTATATGTTTTTTTATGTGAACTTTTTTTCTACATTTTCAATTTAAAGGAGTTCAATACCTAGAAGTTAAGACTCTCTAGGTTTGATAGGTAATCAAGTTGTTAATAATGTCATTGCAGGAGAAATATCATGAGACTGAAGAAGCAACAAGGAGGAGAATGGATGAAATGAAAATTAGTGAAGGTGGTGATTATGAGAAAAGGGACGAGAGTAAGGCGGCGGCTTCTGGCGGTGGTGGCACCGGTGGTGGTGGTGGTGGTATATTTGGTGCACTTGGGAGTGTGCGAGACGCAATTAAAGACACATTAGCACCATCTAGCATGCGTGACACTACCACTACAGATGAGACACGTACCTCCGGCGGATCAAAGATGGTGATGGACGTGGAGGATACTCCGGCGGGGAGAACCGCCGCTACGCTGAAAGTTGCCGATCAGCTGACCGGCCAGACATTTAACGACGTTGGAAGAATGGATGTCGAAGGCATTGCCGAGGTTGAAGCTAAGGATGCCACAGGGAAGAATGTTAAAGTGAAATACTAAAAGTTGGGATCTGATTAAGAATATATTTACTGGACATTTTGGTAATGTATTTTGTGTAATTTTCAAGTTCGTTGTGTTATATTTTTGTTTGTTTTACCAAGTCAAATATGTATTAGTATGAGATTTCTGTTCGGTTTATTTCTTTTTTGTCTGCTTTCCTTATAAGTATTTTAGAACTTGAAGTGGCAGCGCCTTCCGTTTATGAGAAACAACTACTTAAGTTATCTAACCTGAAAAATGATATAGACACATAGTTGTATTTAAGTCGTCTTAAAGCTAAACTTAGTTATTTAAGCCTAGTATTACGAATAAAAGAGAAGGAAAAATATAGATCAAAGCAACTTTTGCTGCTGGAGTTGATCTAATATTAAAGTGCATGTTTCTACGTTCTTTTTGGTGGCCTAAAGTTATGCATCGGGTGTGCACTAAGTTGTTCCAATTGTTATGGATAATATTTCTATTTAACGAGTCAATGGAGTCACCACTCACTTTTCATTTTTACAAATTTTAATATAGAACCAGAGTCGGCACAATGAGTTATAGGGTGAGAATTTTGATGACAACTCAAATGCATCCCAAATTGGATCTGATTTTTTAAGTTCAATTTCGGATTAATTGCTTTGGATATTATTGATTTTTACTTTTGGGTGTATAAGTTGAGATGTTACCCATTTTTGCCTCAGTCATCCAAATAAAGTATCCAAGTAATGATATAGTTATTAAATAAAATATAATAAAAATATTAAATACTAGAATAGTAAAATAATATTTAATGTATAATGGATTAAATATAAAATATAAAAATTATATTTTTATCCAATTCGAAATTTAAAAATTTTAAAAATTAACTTCAAAATTCAATTCGTAATCGGAAAATTCAAACTAAAAATATTTCGGTTGGATTTTAGATTTGTTCAAACTATACCCATCCCTACAATGAGTGGATATCTTCCGGCACTAGGTGGGCGTGTGGTTACATCAATAGTAATAATCAGATGACATGACTATTGTTCCATGAAATCTACGATGAATTAGTAGTTTTGCTACACTCTATTTTGCATAAGATAGTATTAAGTTAGAGGCGGATTAAAGATTCGAATTTTTTGGGTTTGAAGATTTGACGGAATTAACGGATTTAAGATTTGAATTTTATGGACTTGGTATGTCACTGAATCCACATACTAGCATTTGAGTTACTGATCTGAAATTGAATATTTGTACAATATTTTTAATAAAAATATAAGGTCTAAATCAAAACTATTGGATTCAGTTGAACGTATTGCTCTAATCGTAGATACACCCCTTGTTGTAGTACAATTTTAAGGAAGTGAATATATTAATTTTTTATTATCTCCATTACTTATCATGTCAACACCAAACCACAAAAAAGAAATTACACAAAAACAGAAAGAGGTCGAGAATGAATTTTTTAATTTAATTTTTGTTGGTTTGGTTTAATTTACATAGCAAACGAACACAATTAGGTTGGGTTGATAAATAAAAAATCCTAACCAAACTTGTCATATATACACGCACACACCTAATATCAACATCTAATTTTAGCCACAAGAAGCTTACTACATCTGATCGGCTAGGAAAGAAAAGCATGTGGATTGAAGGAACCGGGCTTACTTGCTGAACCTGTAGAGTATTGGGCCTCTATCAAGGGAATAAGTCCAACGTAAGGGTGTAATAGGTTGGGTTGGTTCGAATTTTTTAAATACCAAATTAAATTAATAGTGTTATTTTTAAATCTATATACCAAATCAAACTAATAAAGTCGGGTTTTTCAATTTTGTTTTTTCTCGGTTTTTTTAGTTTTTTTTTTGGGTTTTCGATTTTCTCCGTTAAAGTCTTAATAGTACAAAATATGTAACTTATGCTCCAAATATTTCTCCTAGAAAGATACAATCATATAATGTATTTTTCAAGAAAATAACACGATAATATGAGATAAGTCATCGTATTATACTAAAATATTCAATAATAAAGATAATTACATAAAACAAATATTGCTAATTAATAAGCCATATAGAAAATTAACATAATCTAAAATACTATATAGGTCATGCTAAAACAAGTATAGTTAATAAGTACTATTAGTTACATACCTAAGCACAAAAGAAAAAGATAAACTAAGTTATGCATTTTTATTATAAACCAATATAAAAACTAAAAAAAATAGATATTCAACACTATCATCATTCCTAGTGAATTGAATTTCTTTTGTTAGCATTAGTATTGACTCGAACTTTACTTGAGTTACTATATTTTTGGGCTATAAAATTTATTTACTATTCAAGAATGTTAAGTTCAACCTAGAAATAATACGTTAAAAGATAAAATTATGAAAAAAGTTTAAGAAATATTTATAAATTACACTACAATAAATATTCATATGTATAAAATATTTTTTAAAATTATATCAATAAACTATCGGATTGATTTGGTTTCAGTTTGACTCTTTTAGTTAAAACCAAACCAAACCAATTATGGTCGGGCTCTTTTTTCCAATACCAAAACAAATCAAGCCAGACCACAATTGAATTTTTTTTTTCACCTTGACTCGAATTATCGATTTGTTGCGATTTATCGATTTTGGCATAGGCGTGACTTCGATTCTAAATCTATCCCTTCTTCATTTCCATTATAATGGTATGTCTTCTTAATTTAATATGCCTTTAATCCAATATAATTCTTTAGATTTTACTAATGTATATGTTTTATTTAAGTGTGTACATGGATCGGGTTGGTTCGGTTTTTATCAAAATTAAATCAAGCCAACTATATCGATTTGGATTGGTTCGATTTTGGCTGATTTTTCGGGATTTTCAGGTTTTTTTGTTACTCAAATATTGTTTCAATCTTACTTTGTTAAAATTTTGGTAAGTAAATATATGTTTAATAAAAATTAAAAAAAGTTGACAAATTTATTATCTATTAAATATTCTTATGGGAGAATCTACTTAGTAACACATGATAGGTTTTTTTTTAGTCGTCTGACAATAATTTTCATTGATGTACACTTTCAAGGTTAATCAAATTTAGTAATTAAATATAAAAATCAATAGATACCTAAATAATAATAACCACTTCAAATTCCAAAAAGATATAACAATTTAATAGATTTTGACATATGAATATGGAAGAACAAAGAGATTGAGGCATTTCAGTAACACTTGATAAGAAAGTGATCATACAACCCATTATTTAAGGTTAATAAATATGAAGCACTTCATATTTTATTAAATATTATATCGTGTAAGAGAATCCCAAATATTTCAAGATATTTTTCAAATAAAATCTTAAAATTATATATAAAAATTAAATATTTATATGTCGGTTTGGTTCAGGTTTTTTTACTCAATACCAAATCAAATCAAACCAAACCTAGTCGAATTTGTTAATCGGTTTGGTTTGACTTTTCGATTTGATGCGATTTTCCGATTCGATTTGTACACCCTTAGACTTCTATTTACTATTCGTCTGAATTTTGTTTCTTTAATTAGAGTCGAAGATGTGAGATTAGAACTTATTGTAATTTAGCTGATACGTTTTGATGTACATTGAATAATTCAGCATGAGCTTCACTCTTTTTCATGAAAAGTACCTTACTGAAAATTTCTGAGCAATCCATAAGCAGAAGCTAGTTACTAATTTCATCAATTTATAGGTTCTATACGGTTTTCTTCGAACAGCACGTTTTTTTGTTTTTAATGTTTGATATTTTCTAATATTTCTGTTAATAGTCACTAGTCCACAAGCACCTCTTTTGACATAGTTTAATGTGACTTATCAATATCCTAAATATGTTAATTAATGATGAAGGTGTTGGGAATAAACGACCCACAAAAGTAATATTTATTATAACAAAAGCGAAATAATAACATAGCATCAAAATACGGTTATCAACAAGAATAAGAGAGTGACAACGATATAAAAAAAATTGTGCGCGACTTGTAAGTGGAAAAGAATTTTTTTTTTTTTAAAGCACCTAAACAAAGAAAGACATATTTTCAAAAAACTGCTTGCAATATTTTCTTTGAAAACTCTAAGTAGGCATTTGGACGTAAAAATTATAATTTTTTGGAAAAAAGTAGTATTTGGAGTTAAGTTAAAAAATAATATTTGAAATTTAAAATTACGTTTGGACATGCATTTCACTTGAAAGAACGTTGCAGTTTTGTGAGCGCGGAAACAAAAATTTCTCTGAAAAACTCATTTTCGAATTTTCTTCAAAAACTTACAAAATTTCAAAGATAAACACATTTTTGAAAGAAAAAATCAGAAAAAGGAAAAAATATTTCTGGAATTTTTTTTCTTCAAAAATTGACCACAAACAAACAACAATGCACAAAAGAAAATTAATCTCGCGTCCGCCAATAAGCAATTGATGAATTATTGCAATTTAAACTTACTATAATTGTAGCATTAAAAATACATGTGCTGATGTATTCCGCTTTAGATTATGAATTTATTGAATAAAGAAATTCATGTGACATAATGTTTTTTCTTTTCCGGAGCTTATATTGCAAACAGTAACAGATTAATAAATTGCTACATATTAATTACTTTGGTAGGTTCTACTTAATTACGACTGATGTAAGCAATTATTTTTAGTATATATAAATATGCCATCACCAAATATGATGTCATTGCAAATGAGTAGATAATGGAATTGTTGATAACTACTCAAATAATTGAAACTTCTATCCTCTTATAACATAATGACTTGTGAGAAAGAACTTCCTAAGTACTGAATATATGATCACCAAAACTAATTAATTAACCCCCTTTAATGATCACCAAAACTAATTAATACCTGTGTTACCATCAAGGTATCGTGGAATATGGTTAAGATTTTATGATCTATAATTATTGGTTCGGTTTTAACAGAAAAACTTTTTTATAGGCAGCCTTTACCCACAATAAACCTATTTTACGTGAAACTGAATTAGTCGAACTCTTGAATTTTGAAACTCAACGGTTAAACTTGAAATAAGTGTCTTGTTGAAAGTGAAAATTCAAACTTGAGTAAGGTCTCTTTATCAATCCAAAAGAAAAGAAAGGAAAATTAGCCAAAGAAGGGTTAAAATAACTTATTTTAGTAATATTTTGATTATTCAATATTTGTTAGTTGCT